TAAAAAATCTCAGAATGAAAAGATGTGTTTCCAGACTGGAAGGGCCTATCAATTGCCCAGCAAAATAGATTTTTTAAAAATGCCTTAAAAATTGGGAGGAAAATTGTCTGCTACCTTCAGTTCTCTACTAAGCCAAATAGTATTCAAATACGAGGGCAAAAGTAAGAGATTTTTCAGACCTATAAGGCCTCCAGATATTTGCCTCCTATTATCTTTGTCGAAGGTATATTGGAAGACACGATCCTCCAAAGAGAAAATACACACAAATTAGAGAATGACTTAGCGTTTGGAATAGGGGACCCGGTATGGAGGAGTGAGAAGAATCCGCAGCTGTTGTAGTCTGATTAGCAAGAAAGAAGAGGACATTCAGACATAGCGAAATTACAGGAGCTTTAGTTCGAAAGCCAGTAACGGTGGGACTGTGGGAGGATTCACATCTCTCAATGACCTCGCAGCTCCAAGTTAGAGAAAAGGGGTGCTTATAAAGGCAAAAATGACAATCATTTCTCTGCTGACATGATGATTACAATGGAAAATCAGGAGAGGGTGGAGAGGAAAGGGAGTGGGTTCCTATGTGAAAACACTTGCAGAAGCCACATCAAGTCTGTTAATAATTTCTAAGGGCACTTTCCAGGCCTTTTTTTAATGGCTCTGGGCAGGCGTCTGGTGATTGGTGATTACATTGCTAAGGAACATCTAAAACAAAAAGGTTTAGGCTAGTTAGCAAAGACAGTAAGACTGTTAGTCACTGCTTACTGTGGGCAAAAGGAGGAGCTTAGTGTAACATAAAGTTCAAAGATGGAGGTAGTTCTGTTTCACAGGCTCATGGGAAAAGGAAATCTCAGGATGGCAATTGGACATTTGCCATATTTATTGGGCAGAGGAACAACTCCAGGCAGACTGTCTTCAGAGAGAATGTAGATGGCCAATGTGTTGTGTTCATCTAGATTGTCTACATTTCTTTTTTTTTTTTAATTTAAATTTATTTGTTTGCATTCATTCACTGTTCATCATTACAGCATAAAAAATGAGATTTTCCATCCAGGGTACACTGTATATTGTCTCAATCAAGCACATCAACAAACATGTTATTGTCAGCAAATAATTTTCCATTTCTTGTTTTCTGTATGTTTTGCTTTTTTGATTCCCTATCTCTTACCCTCTGCCATCTCCCACTCTCTTATGGGGAATTTAGGAACCTATTGATGATAGGCATAGAGAAATTTAATGAAATGAAGAAAAATCTTCATAAATATAAGTTGGTATAAGAAAAAAATGCAGTCAAGTAGCTCAGCTCTAAATAGTATTTACTTGGTCATAGTGAAAAACAATATGTGTTTTTTTCTTTTTCAGAGTTTTTTTGTTTGTTTATTTTGTTTTGTTTTGTTTTTGCTATAGGGTGCATGTGCTCACCAGAAAGACAGAGACAGAAAACGAGAAATCACCCCCCGGGGGGATGGACACACCACAGTCCCTTCTCTTCCGTTCTCCTCTCGGGATCTTGGGCACGCATGCACATGGGCCCAGCGTGAGTTTAAGCCACTGAGTCTGGGACTTGAACCGTGGCTGACTACATGGGAGTCCAGCGACATAGCCATTATGCTATCTGCTAGTCCCAACAAAATATTTTGATATAAGTGAAAATTATGACATAACTACATTTGGAAACTGAAGGGAGGGAAATGTGAGTGTAGGGTGGGAGGGAAGAGGCACCTTCCCTTCTTTAAAGTCAACAGACAATATCACGAACTTTGCTCAAAGTCAAGCCTAATGCAGGCTACACTTTCCGTATTAATCTCTGCTCCCTTGACCGCAGTATCCTCTACTCTCACCCTTCCACTAGGTCTGCACTCTGAATTGCTAAATCTAGTAAACCCAATGAAAACTTTTTTCTTTCTTCCTTTTTTAAAATTTTTATTTTTTGCTAGCAGGTTCATGTGCTTTCTGGAGACAGAAAGGAAAAATGAGAACCCGCTGCAATTCCTTCTCCGTTTCTTCTGTCAGGATTCAGGGCACACACGGGCTTTTCAAGCAGCTATGTCCAGGGTTCAAATTGCAGAGGCAGCCATTTGGAATCCAGCCTCCCTAACCACTAGTTGGCTTGTCCCTAATGGAAACTTTTCAGTCCTTTTGCTTGACTTCTGTGTTGTATTCAACACCATTCACCCCTCTCCTTCCTTCTTGAAACCTTTCTTGGATTTGCAAAATGATTCCACTCTGCTTATCGGTTCTCTTTTTCCCTTCCATCCCTCCCCACCTTAAAATTTCCCAGTGTTTGTTTTACCAAACTCTTCTTTTTAATTTACGCTACAAATTCCCTTTGCTTATTGCTTCATATAAACTAGAGAGGAAAATCCCTTTTTCTTTCTGAGGTCTGTTTTCTTTCTTTCTTTTTTTCTTTATTTATTTTAAAGAATTATTTTATTTAACTTTATTTATTATTATTATCATTGTTATTTTCCAGTTTGATCAGAGAGAGAGAGGAAGTGAGAAAGCAAGCCACCAGGTCCGAGACTTGAACCATGGTCGGCCATGTGGGAGTCCAGCGCCCTTAACCATCATGCCACTTGCCAGCCCCTGAGGTCTGTTTTCTGATCTCTAAATTAGGTAGCTTTTTCTTTCTTTTTTTTTTTTTTTTTGAGTGGTTTTTTGCTATAGGGCGCATGCGCTCACCAGACGGACAGAGAGAGACAGAGAGACAGAAAGCGAGAAATCACCCCCCAGGGAGGATGGTCATGCCGCAATCCCTTCTCCTCCATTCTCCTCTCAGGATCTTGGGCACACATGCACACGCGCCTGGCATGAGTTTTAAGCCACCAGATCTGGGACGCGAACCGCGGTGGACTATGTGGGAGTCCAGCGACATAGCCATTACACTAACTGCTGGTCCCAGGTAGCTTTTTCTAGAACTATAAATTTCTCTAAAACTCAACATATTCAAAGTTAACCTATTCTAGATTCTCAAAGCCTGTATGAAGAGATGGCAAAAACTCAAATATAATTAAATTAAGAGCTTAAGTTGGTGCAAACAATTTTTGAAATCGTGCATTGTTTTTTTCATGAAACTTATTTTTCATGAAGTTTTGAAGAGCTCCCTCACACTTCCTATTACCTTTATCTATCTTCATTAAGGAACTCTTTTATACCTGATGCATGGGCCGGGAGGCTGGGAGTCATCTACATCAATGCCTGTTCTGCCATGTCTCAGATTCAGACAATAAATTCTAATCTGACCTGTGTCATCTGTGACAGTCCACACAGTTGCCTTTACCATGGCTCTTACTATCTCTTACAAAGACAGGCAGGGATCAGCAGTCAGCATAATGGCTACGTCACTGGACTCCTACGTAGTCAGCCGCGGTTCGAGTCTCAGACCTGGTGGCTAAGACACAGGCCAGGCGCATATGCATGCGTGCCCAAGATCCTGAGAGGAGAATGGAAGAGAAGGGATTGCTGCATGGCCATCCCCCCTGGTGGGGGGGATTTCGGGATTTCTCGCTTTCTGTCTCTCTGTCTCTCTCTGTCTTTATGGCGAGCACACGCATCCTATAGCAAAAACCTTTCCAGCAACAACAACAAAAAAAGGCAGATAGATGCTTTGAAGGCAGTTTGTAGAACTTTCTTCTGCTTGCTTTAGTTTACAACTAGGAATGAGGATGGTGAAAAAGATTTCAGATGAAAGGAAGAGCTATGAAAATGTCTTCTAGGGCGACGAGAGAGTGAACGAACCAGTGAAATGGAGCTTGGCTTCCAAGAAGCATTGTCGTTCCCGTGGGTTATTGAAAACAAGACCAGCTGTAGTGAGGTGCGTTTTCTGCTTTGAGGAGTGTATGTCCAGTCAGGGAACGCAGTTTGGGCAACTATCTCTACGATGCCTCTATCAGAATAGTTCATCTCCTATGTACCTGATTTCAATTCTATTAAAGTGATTGCTTTCACTGTAGGAGACACTTCTCAAAATATTGTAACTTCAGACTCAACTTCCAGCTCTGCATCAGGAACTCCAAAACTTCACATGACAGCTCCCACATCCCAATACCCTTGATTCCAGCTCCATCCAACACTTAGGGAGCACCTGTCATGAGCAACGCCTTAATTTTAACTTTTTCTTCTGTCCTGGCCACACGACTCCCAGCCCCCAGGTCTGCTGCCTTTTTTCCCTACTTTTTCTACCTGTGCTATTCTCCCATGATATTGCAGTTTCACATGCCTGGAATGTCTTTTTCATTGCTCCCTGTTACCACTCTTGGAACAGTCTGGGAAAAAAAAAAAATCCTCTTTTGGGATCCTAGGTAGATTCATGACCAATGGTGGATATATTTTTTGGGCTCGTTCCTGACTATAGTTGTTCATTTCTCTCCTATCCTCCCACTGTCACCTCGGGTCAATCATTGTTTTGTGCTAACCCCAAAGTGAACTTAATTTCCATATGCATTTTATCTTATTCTCTAGTGATAACGTCGAAGCAGCCCTGAGCCTTTGATGAGCTCAGCTGTATCTGCTGTCTCTTTATTAGAATATAAGACTCTTAAGGGAGGATGCTATCTAGGCTTGATCAAGATGCTTTCTAGACAAAGCTCTTTGTTAATTACCAGTGTGGTCTCAGGCTTTCAAAGCATTAAGTGGTTTTAGTTGTTCTATCAAAAGAACAGTGGCAATCTTAACTATACTTAATTATATTTTGAGGCTTTCTCTCAATAGAAAAAGCCTCCGTGCTTTTAGACTGTAAATTTATTTTTCTCTTTGTAACAGTATCTTATGCTTCATATGGTGCTGGAGAGATTGCATTTTTTGTTGTTGCTGGAGTTACAGAGTTAATCATAAGAAAGGCTTAAGCTTTTATCTTAAAGGTTACAGTTTTGGGGGTTCGTTTTACAAGAAGAAAAGAAAACCTACAGTTAAGAAATGTAGTTGGGTGCTAATATTCTTGACAGGAAATTCCCGTAAAGGAAACAGACTTACTCACTGTTTCAACTAAACCCAACCACAAAGCTTATCTAGTGGGGCAGATTGGTCAGAGAAGAGTTTTTGATGCTTCATCTTCAAGGGATCAGCTGCTGATAGAGATATTTCATTTCATTTTCCTCAGTATGACCAGGCTTTTTACAATGACCATCATCACTTGCAAAATACCAAGGGCATTCTCTTTCTCTCCAGGTATAACTCAGTATTTACAAATTTCTGTGAGCTAACAGCTGTTGCATCTTTTCCAGGTATCTGTGTGGCTAGGGGAAAGTATAGCAGAACTCTTTGAAAATGGACATTTTCACATTGTTCTTCGGATACAAAATCTTCAGTCAATGAGATAAGGATGTGAAGTTCCTTTCTCTCTTTTTTAATCTCTTAAAGACAGGAAATAAAGGTAAGACAATAGTACTTTTTTTTTTTCACTTGATATCCTAACCAGAAAGTATTAATTGAGAACAGTGCTTAAATAATTTTCAGAATGAATTGTTAACACAGTTATTTTCATGAATTATTTTAGAATAACAGATGTGCTATCTCACTAGTCAAATTTATATCTTCATGTGAAAGGAGTCTTCACTTTTTAAAACAATGGATGGTTTGAAAATAAACCTATCTACAGTGCTTGAAACATTTTATGGAGAGTTACAGGTGGATAGTCTCAAGATGTTTGCTGAGATCAAATGGCAGTCTTGACCATAAGATCTTTGATTTGTGAACAATACTCGCTTCATTTTCTGCAATGTCTAGACAGTGGGATATGAAGGGACTAAGGCCCTGTGTGAGTCTTAAGAACACTGACTGAACTAAGTTCTGCTACTACACTAGAGCAAATGTCTATGTGCACATGTGTTTTTTATACAAAGTATTTTACATGCCTGGGACAGTGAGATTCCTCTTCCTGGGCCTCAGACCTCTTGTCAACACCTGCCTTCTCCAGCATGTCCCTCTCTTGTCTCTCCTTTCATCTAAAGCTTTGGTCAGTGAGAAGTTTAGTTGATCTTTTTGCCCAAAGAAGTTGAAAGTGTAGCTTTGATGAACTAAAGAGAAAAAAAAAAAAATATATATATATAGGACAAAGAAATCTGACTCCCCAAAACACACCTGGAGAATGCTGTGGGGAAGGGATCCTGCAGAGTCTCAAGGTCACCTTGGACTCTTGCCTCATCATGTGAGATGGTGATGATGGGAAAATCAGAATCTTTGAGGGCCTATACATCTGGCTATGAATCACCCTTCTCATATCAGAGTGTAATCCTCATCAGGAATGGGGACTGCTATTCCCAGAAATGCAGGCTCTGGTTGTCCAACTGTAAAATGACAAGGACAACATTAATTTTCCCGTGTGAGCAGAAAGCAAGTAAGCATTAAAGTTGGGGTCACCTTTCTATTATTTTACTCTCATGAATAGAATCTGCAGCCTGGCTGACTTAAGTTGCCTGATGCTCAGTAAATGATGTTTTCTGCATTTATGTGACTCCCTACGACCCAGTGAAGCATATTGGTGCTGCTGGAATGAAAGGCATCCCTCAGTCACTAGAGGGTCTGCAAAGGTAGGCATTTGACAATCAAGCCCCAAGGTGTATTTGCCTACATTCATGGGAGTTTCAGAATGAGCTTGTCCTTGCATTATTTCGCTGCCAACAGTACTGACAATAGCTGTTGTAACTCAGCACTCTCCCACACCCCAGCCCAGCCCTTGTCCCTGAGTAGGGCTTCCCAAGATGTCTCTTGGGTCATAGCGATCACCATGACACTGGTTTATAATACTGATGCTAATTTTTTCCTTTAGAATCTGAGTAAATACGTTCTTGGGGAGTGCAGAAATCTGTATTTGGAACAAGTGTTTCAGGAGATCCTTAGAATCAAGATAATTTGAGAAACACTGTCCTGTAGGCAAAGCTGAAACTGGAAACAACCCTGGCAACCTGAGGTCCAAAGCAAGCATGTGGGTGGGTGACATAGAGAGAGTCTGTCATCTCCAGTGGAATGGGAGTTCCTGAAGCCTGGAGACTGCTGGGCCAGTAGCCAAGTTACTGCAGGCTTTTCCATTCAGACTAGAATTTGAGAGCAGTACACCTGGGAAAATCTTAGTAATCATGTAGTCCCATGGTTCTCAAGTCAGGGAGCATTTTTTCTTTTTTTCAAATGCAGAGTTCTCAGACTAAACCCTAGAAATTCTGTCCTACTAGCTGTAAATGGAAGGCTTACATGTACATGTGTAACGTGTACAGAGGGGCTCAGGATGAGAACCCAGGACTTTCAGCATTGTGCAGTGTTTTGTTCCTGCTGCACTGCCATGACTAACCAGGAGATATGGTTTCTTTTTTTTAAGAGGTTTTTTCCTTAGGGTGCATGCACTCACTGGAGAGAGAGAGAGAGAGAGACAGTAAAAAGAACGATGAGACATTACCCACTCCCTGGGGTGGGGGATGGACATGCCACAACCCCTTCTCCTCCATTCTTCTCCCGGGATCTTGGGCACACACAGAGAGACACCTGGTGTGAGTTTTAAGCCACCGAGTATAGGACTTGAACCACGGTTGGCCATGGAAGAGTCTAGCTATGTAACCTCTATGCTATCTGCTAGCCCAGCTGTGGTTTCTGACATAGGATCTCTGCTCGGGAGTATTCCATTGAGTGTGAGAACCGAGTCTGTAGAATGAAGTGAGGAGAAATTCCAAACAACCAGTCCCTGAGCTCCTGCTCCCAGAGCGGGGACAGGATATAACACCTGACAAGGCAGATTGACTTCCTGCTGGCATGACACTTATGCTCTCTGGTGTAAAATTTTTAACAATAGGCTATTTACAGGTGATACTGTGTGCTAAAACAAAAGCAATGAGCAATGAGCAACAGGAGAGACGGCTGCTGGCTAGTGCAGTGGCCAGGGTGGCAGGGGGCACCTTGGGCTGGCGGTCAGGGAAGGGCTCTCTGAGGATGAAACAGGGAGATGGCATGAGATAGCCACATCCTACAGAGTTTTGTACCTGGTACCCTGGAAGAGCGCTTCATGTTATGGGTAGTGGAGGCTGGTGCACAATTAGGCATGAAAATGCTCAGCCTTGCCTTTCAGGAAGATGCCTTTGGCCAAGGAAGATGGGGAGATTGTTCTGTCTGGGGTTTTGTGGGTTAAAAACCAAAAGGAAAGAAAAGACTCCCTTTTTTTTTTTTTTTTTTTTTTTTTTTTTTTAAATTGTTTGAGTACATATGCTCTTGCCAAAGAGTGAAAGGAAAAACAATCCCCAGTGGGGCATGCTCATACCACAATCCCTTCTCCCTTTCTCCATCCTGTCCAGTTCATTTTCAAAACATACTTGTATCAAAATAAACTGACCCAGGAAAGAAGTCTTTGACAGGTTGTGGGGAGATATGCTTGGTCAAGACAATGCTCCCATTTTTTTTTTTTGGCCAGAGGGCATGTGCGCTTACCAAAGAGAAAAAAAGGAAAAAAAAAAGAGAGAGAGAAAGCATCCCTGTGGGGAATGGTCACAGCACAGTCTACACTCTCGTCTCCATTTCTCCCTCCTTTCGGGACGTTGCACAGGTGCCCAGAGTTCCTCTGAAGCTGCCAGGGCCAAGACTTACACCACAAGGTTGGCTGTGTGGGATCCAGCAGGCAACGGGCTGGCCCTGAGAACACATTTTAAAAGACAGTCTCCTCTGCCTTGTTCCTTGACTGTAGTCCTTGTTAAGAAGAGGCATCAGTTGTCACCAAATGGAACAAAGATCGCAGTGGCCTTAGTCCTATCCTTGGGACTACAAGGCTCATCTCAGGAAGACTTTCTCTCGAACATCTTCACTCTCGGTGGTCAGGTTGGCAGCCAGGTGCACCTGTCCTGTACTTTCAGCTCCCATCTTGGCAAAGTGGCCTGGGAAAACCTTCTCATGCTGCAAGGCTCTGCCTACCTCCTGTCCAACATTAATCTCTGTGTGAACGAGGGACCCCGTCTCTACTGGCCTCCTCTGAGCAGGCCCATGCCCTGCTTCCTCACTCCCACAAGAATGGAATCCAGCTCACCTGTTGCCTCGTCCTTCACAATGGGGCCGTGTCCCTGCAGAAAGCACAGCTCTTCCCCATCCCCACACACTGCTCCCTTTACTGGGTCTTCACCCCAAGGCTCCCTGTCACCTCACCCTGGCTGTGCATGCTCATCTCTCAGCAGCCAAAAGCCATGGACACTGTTCAGTGTCCCAGGCCCTACTCCTCTGTAGACTCAGACATTAGAATCTAATCTCTCTCTCCGAAGGTCCTCTGTTTTTTTGTGGCAGGGTTTTCTGTTCTGCTTCATTTCTTCCTTTCAGATCTGTCACTCTTCGTTTTCCATTGGCCGTGACCCACTTCCAGGTTGGTGTTCTGTGGGCAGCTGGGCTCCCTTCTCCTCTTGGGCCACAGGATCCTCAAGGCTCCACTTCTTCCTCCTGCTCCTGTCATCCACACCCTCTCTGAGCTCCACGCCCACCCAACCCACTGCCCTAATAGGTTTAAGGTAGATCGTTAAGACACCGTTGGCCCAGTGCTTCTGTTAGAGAAACAGGAATTATTAAAATAATAATTATTCAAATTACTCCCACCTCCTGCATCTGAAGATATTAGACATGGTGTGTGAGTGTGTGTGTGTGTGTGTGTGTGTATTTATACATTTGTGTGCGTGTGCTCATGTGTATTGTTCCTTGATTGGAGATGAAGAATTTTATATAGTGGGAACCAGCAGTTAGCGTAATGGCTATGTCACTGGACTCCCACGTAGTCGACCGCAGTTCGCGTCCGGAACCCAGTGGCTTAAACTCACGCTGGGCGCATGTGCATGTGTGCCCAAGATCCCGAGAGGAGAATGGAGGAGAAGGGATTGCGGCGTGACCATCTCCCCTGGGGGGTGATTTCTCGCTTTCTGTCTCTCTGTCTCTGTCTGTCTGGCAAGTGCGCGCGCCCTATAGCGAAAAAACCTCTCCAAAAAAAAAGAGAAGAATTTTATATAGTGAGAAAAGTCCATTATTTCTTCATGAGAAAAGGTGGAACCACCTGGCAGGAAAGGTCCTGGGAAGGTTGGGATGGGGGCAGTGGCTTTAGGAGTGACTTGAATACACAGGCAGGAGCGAGGAGAGGAACTCCCACAGGTGAATAGCTGCAGGGGAGAGAGGGAGAGAGAGTGAGGGAGACAGGGAGAGACAGAGAGAGACAGACGGCAGCACCAGAGACAGAGAAAAAGATACAATAGAGACAAAGTAATTTTGTCAGCTACCTAAAAAAGCCACCCTCACATTGGATCATGGATAGTAACTGATTAGGATCCGCATCCTCCACCTCCCCTCAGGTGTTACCTGATCTCCTGGCCCGCCATCAGTAAGAAGCCTGATATTTCAAGTTTATCCAGAACCTTTCATGTCCCTGATATT